TGTAGACTGGGGATTTATGACATAATGAGCTAAATTTTGTGGTGTACATATCTAAGATGTAATCATATTTCTAAGTTTAGCTTAGAGCAAATGTGTATAAACATAATCCTCATATTAATTCATCATGAGTCCGTATTATCCGGAGTGTTATTAACTTTTAAGTCTTCTAAGAAATACTAAATTTCATAAATTTCATATGTAGTTACTAATATATATTTGTTTGATAATTTATACAAAATTTCAAAATTCGATGTATTTCTCGGGGAGTGTGGTGGGGGGTCGTTGCCTAGACACCGGTGTTGTTTTGGTGGGGAATTAGAGCGCAGCGTTTCAGTGCAACATGTACGATAATAACCGTTTACCAACGATAAACACCAAATTTCTAGTTACAAATATACTTCCTAACAAAAGACATATTCATTATATTTTTTTATGTTTAGCAAATAGAAAAATAATAATTTTAAGTTTCTTTTTATTTATCTAGGGAAAGTCACCAACGTTCGTCTTCGTAGATATTCTAATGAATCAGTGACTACTTGTGTCTTTTATTTCCCTTCTTTTTGTACACTTTATAAAATAATAATAATAATAATAATAATAATAATAATAATAATAACATTGAAACTAATATTTGCCGGTAAATATGGAGAACTCACGAAGATTATACTGGTTATGTCTCCGATGTGGTGTTAAGAGAGGGTATTATGGTCGAGTCAGCGTAGTTTTAACCCTATTTGTTTTAAAGTCTTTCTTTAAGTGATGTAGTCAGAGATTTTTGAGAATCGGAGCCTAGATAATGTTCCTTCACCTGGTAGAGACACACACAAGTAATCCTTCACCTGGTACAGACACACACACTAGTAATCCCTCACCTGGACACTAATCCACCTGCGAACCTAGTAATACTTTGTACAGACACACTAGTAATCACCTGGTACAGACACACACACTAGTAATCCCTCAACTGGTAGACACACTCTAGTAATCCTTCACCTGGTACAGACACACTAGTAATCCTTCACTGGTAAGACACACACTAGTAATCCTTCGTGGTACAGACACACACACTAGTAATCCTTCACCTGGTACACACACACTAGTAATCCTTCACCTGTTAAAGACACCACTAGTAATCCTCAACTGGTACAGACACACTGTAATCCTCCTGATACAACACACACTAGTAATCCCTCCTGGTACAGAAACACTAGTAATCCTTCACCTGGTACACACACACACTAGTAATCCTCAACTGGTACAGAACACACACTAGTAATCCTTCACCTGGTACAGACACTGTAATCCCTCAACTGGTACACACAATAGTAATCCCTTCACCTGGTACAGAACACACACTAGTAATCCATCAACTGGTACAGACACACTAGTAATCCTTCACCTGGTACACACACACTAGTAATCCTTTACCTGGTACCACACACTGTATTCATCTTCCCGGACAGACACACACTAGTAATCCTTCACCTGGTAAAGGACACACTAGTAATTCTTCACCTGGTACAGACACACTAGTAATCTCACGATGCAGACACACTAGTAATCCTTCACCTGAACACGACACACCTGTAATCCTTCACCCGGTACAGACACACACTAGTATCCTTCACCTGGCAGACACACACTAGTAATCCTTCACCTGATACAGACACACATTAGTAATCCTTCACACCAGACACACACTAGTAATCCTTCACCTGGTACAGACACACACTAATATCCTTCACGGTACGGACACACACTAGTAATCCTTCACCTGGTACAGACACACACTAGTAATCCTTCACCTGATACAGACACACGTAAATCTCCTTCACCCTGGTGCAGACACACACTAGTAATCCTTCACCTGGCATACAGACACTAGTAATTCTTCACCTGGAGAACACCTGTTCCCCCAGGTGCAGACACACACACTAGTAATCCTTCACCTGGTGCAGCACACTAGTAATCCTTCACGGTACAGACACACTAGTAATCCTTCACCTGGTGCAGACACACTAGTAATCCTTCCTGGTACAGACACACTAGTAATCCTTCCTGGTGCAGACACACAGTAATCCTTCACCTGGTAAAGACACACAGAGTCCTTCACCTGGTACCGACACCACTAGTAATCCTTCACCTGGTGCGAACACACTAGTAATCCTTCACCTGGTACAGACACACACTAGTAATCCTTCTGTGCAGACACATTAGTAATCCTTCACCTGGTAAGACACACACTAGTAATCTTCACCTGGTACAGACACTATAATAATCCTTCACCTGGTGCAGACACACACTAGTAATCCTTCACCTGATACAGACACACAACAGTAATCCTTCACCTGGTGCAGACACACACTAGTAATCCTTCACCTGATACAGGCACACACTAGTAATCCTTCACCTGTGAAGGCACACACTAGTAATCCTTCACCTGATACAGACACACACTAGTAATCCTTCACCTGGTGCAGACACACACAGTAATCCTTCACGATACAGAGCACACATTAGTAATCCTTCACCTGGTGCAGACACACACTAGTAATCCTTCACCAATGCAGACACACTAGTAATCCTCACCTGGTGCAGACACATTAGTAATCCTTCACCTGGTACAGACACACGTAATCCTTCACCTGGTAAAACACGTGTTCTACCTGATACAGACACAACTAGTAATCCCTTCACCTGGTGCGAACACACTAGTGATCCCACCTGGTAAACACTATAGTAATCTTCACCCGATACGAACACACTAGTAATCTTCACACCTTGTAGAGCACACACTAGTAATCCTTCACCTGGTACAGACACACACTAATAATCCTACCTGGTACAGACACACACTAGTAATCCTTCACCTGGTACGAACCCGCATAGTAATCCTTCACCTTTAGACACACACTAGTAATCCCCTTCACGACACACTGTAATTCTTCACCTGATACAGACACACTAGTAATCCTTACTGGTGCAGAACACACTAGTAATTCTTCACACCGATACAGACACACTAGTAATCCTTCACCTGGTGCAGACACACACTAGTAATCCTTCACCTGGTACAGACACCACTAGTAATCCTTCACCTGGTGCAGACACACACTAGTAATTCTTCACCTGATACAGACACACTAGTAATCCTTCACCCGGTGCAGACACACACTAGTAATTCTTCACCTGATACAGACACACTAGTAAATCCTTCTCTCGGTACAGACACACACTAGTAATCTTCACCTGGTGCAGACCACTAGTAATTCTTCACCTGATACAGACACACTAGTAATCCTTCACCTGGTAAAGACACACACTAGTAATTCTTCACCTGATACAGAACACTAGTAATCCTTCACCTGGTGCAGACACACTAGTAATTCTTACCTGATACGAACACACTGATGTCCTTCACCTGGTGCAGACACACACTAATGTTCTTCACCTGGTACAGACACTAATAATCCTTCACCTGGTGACACACATCAATCCTTCACTGGTACGAACACTAGTAATCCTACCTGGTACAGACACACTAGTAATCCTTCACCTGGTGCAGACACACTAGTAATTCTTCACCTGATACCGAACACTAGTAATCCTTCACCTGGTACAGACACCTGTTCTTATGACCACACTAGTAATCCTTCACCTGATACAGACACACACTAGTAATCCCTCACCTGGTAAAGACACACACTAGTAATCCCTCACCTGGTAAAGACACACTAGTAATCCTTCACCCGGTACAGACACACACTAGCAATCCCTCACCTGGTAAAGACACACACTAGTAATCCCCTCGCTGGTACCAGACCACCTGGTAATCCCTCACCTGGTACAGACACACTAGTAATCCCTCACCTGATACAGACACACACTAGTAATCCCTCACCTGGTACAGACACACTAGTAATCCTTCACCTGGTAAAGACACACACTAGTAATCCTTCATCTGGTAGAGACACACACTAGTAATCCTTCACCTGATACAGACACACACTAGTAATCCCTCACCTGGTAAAGACACACACTAGTAATCCCTCAACTGGTACAGACACACTAGTAATCCTTCACCTGGTACAGACACACACTAGTAATCCTTCACCTGATACAGACACACACTAGTAATCCCTCACCTGGTAAAGACACACACTAGTAATCCCTCACCTGGTAAAGACACACTAGTAATCCTTCACCCGGTACAGACACACACTAGCAATCCCTCACCTGGTAAAGACACACACTAGTAATCCTTCACCTGGTACGGGCACACCTAGTAATCCCTCATCTGGTACAGACACACTCTAGTAATCCTTCACCTGAATTGCAGACACACTAGTAATCCTCATCCTGGTACAGACACACACTAGTAATCCTCACCTGGTACAGTTACACACTAGTAATCCCTCATCTGGTACAGACACACTCTAGTAATCCTTCACTGGTACAGAACTACACACTAGTAATCCCTCATCTGGCTGGGCTTTTTACTAGTAATCCCCTCACTGGTACATGTGAACACACACTAGTAATCCCTCATCTGGTACAGACACACTCTAGTAATCCTTCACCTGGTACAGACGCACTAATGTCCTTCACCAGGTACAGACACACCTATTAATCCCTCTCACTTGGTACAGACACACATTAGTAATCCTTCAACTTCCAGTACAGACACACTAGTAGTCCCTCCCAGCTGGCTGAACACACACACTAGTAGTCCCCCTCACCTGGGTACAGACACTAGTAGTCCTCTGGCTAATTCTGAACACACACTAGTAGTTCCTCACCTGGTACAGACACACACTAATCCCTCACCTGGTACAGACACACTAGTAGTCCCTCAGCTGGTACAGACACACACTAGTAGTCCCCTCTTTTTACCTGGTACAGACACGCTAGTAGTCCCTCAGCTGGTACCCAGACACACTAGTAGTTCCTCACCTGGGTACAGACACACACACCTAGTAGTCCCTCACCTCAGCCCTCGCCTGGTACAGCCTGGTACAGACACACGTAGTCCCTCGCCTGGTACAGACACACGTAGTCCCTCGCCTGGTACAGACACACGTAGTCCCTCGCCTGGTACAGACACACGTAGTCCCTCGCCTGGTACAGACACACGTAGTCCCTCGCCTGGTACAGACACACGTAGTCCCTCGCCTGGTATTGTCGTACAAGTATTTATATTTTAAATTTATATTCTTGGCTACTCGTCAGCCCGCTCGCTTGATAGATGGTCGGTCTGTTCTATCACACACACTGTTGACAAGTACTGGACATGCTCGGGGTTTCTTTTACACAAGGCATGTGTCCTAACCCTGGAGCCAACGCTACCAGAGGTCAGAGGTTATGGAATAAATATATGAAGTAACATAACTAAGCTATAACTAATATCTATACTTAATGAAGTAAGAAAAAGTTAGAAAAAAAAAGGTTGAAGAGTTTACAAGTTAACAGTAGTGGGATAAATTAATAAGAAAATACAACTAAAAAATCCCTCCTTTACACATGTACTGTCACTCCGTCTGGTCCCCGAGATATGCTCGGGTCTGTCAGTTGATTGAAAGTGTGGAAAGAAGGGCCACTAGGCTGGTGCCAGCACTACGGCACCTCAGCTACCCCGAGAGATTGGAGTGCTTGAACCTGCCTAGCTTATACTACAGACGGGCAGGGAGGACCTAATTGAGGTGTATAAGCATGTAGTGGATTTCTCCCCTACAAACGCTGTTTGTCGCTGAGTAGCCGACCCCACGAATTCCCCAGTGTATGCCTCTTGGTCTAGGTCAACCAGCGCCGCCCACGGAGCGGGGATCAACTACTAAGCCACGCCTACCCCCCGCTATTTAAGACCTGACCTCGTGGTGACCTGTCTCTTTCTACCTACACCAACCAGCCAGCAACACCTCCTCCGCCTGCCTGGCGGTCCTCGCTCCCGCCGGCGAGCATGGCGACCCACAAGCTGTCCTCCTCTGAGCACCCTCACCAACCAGCTCTCTCTACATCACGCTTGTAACCATGCTGCCTTCCCAGCACCAAGCTGCATTGTACATCCAATACAACAGTGTACAGTGAGCACATTGTGAGTTTCCTTTCTCCATCCCATCCTGAGTGAGAACCAAACATAACGTACCCCACAAGCATCTCAAGGGCACTATTCAGTCGAGTGTCCTTACCTGGAGCTGTCGGACGCTCGCCCTACAAGGGGTCACAAATAAAGGTTGAAGAAGCCGCAAGCCCAAAAAACTGTGAAGGGTAACTTTTTCGGAGTGAGAGTAGTGCCCCTTGAGATGCTTATACACCTCTATTAGGTCACCCCTTGCCCGTCTGTAGTATAAGCTAGGCAAGTTCAAGCACTCCAATCTCTCAGGGTAGTTGAGGTGCCGAAGGGCAGGCACCAGTCTGGTGGCCCTCCTGAGAACATTTTCAACCAACTGACAGTCCCTAGCATATCTCGGGGACCAGACGGGGTGTCAGTACTCCAGATGGGGAAGCACCATCTGCTGCATAAACCACTGATGCTGGCATAATGCCGCAACTGTGGCAACATCATCTGGGAGAAATGACAGAATGCTAACACAGGTGTGCTGCTGCTCTGAGACAATACGCTGGTCCACAAACCCCGTATTGTGTTTTTGTGTTTATCCTCTTCGCCACTGATCGGCTTGTTAGCCTTGGGCGATCGGTCACGTCTCTTTTCCTATATTCTTCACCAAAGTCGGCTCGCTAGCCGCCGGGCGATCAGTCACGTCTCTGTCACGCACTGTTGGCAAATACTGGGCATGCACCGGCTCCTGAATGTACCTGAACCCGCTCCAGTGTTGGTCAAGTCTTATCTTGAAAGAGCTCACACTCGGTGCCGTCACAACACTCTCTGGTAGATTGTTCCAAGAGTTTACAACCCTCACTCCGAAAAAGTTTGCCCTCACGGTTTTCCGGACTTGCGGCTTCTTCAATCTTGAGCTGTGACCCCTTGTGGGGCGAGCGTCCGCCAGCTCCAAGTAAGGACACTCAACTGAGTAGTGCCCCCTGAGATGCTTATAAACCTCAACTAGGTCCCCCCTTGCCCGTCTGTAGTATAAGCTAGGCAAGTTCAGGCGCTCCAATCTCTCAGGGTAGCTGAGATGCCGAAGTGCAGGCACCAGTTTGGTGGCCCTCCTTTGAACATTTTCAACCAACTGACAGTCCCTAGCATATCTCGGGGACCAGATGGGGTGACAGTACTCCAGATGGGGAAGCACTTCACTCCTGAAGATCGTCACGAGGGACGGACCGTCTAGATATCTGAACGACCTTCTTATAAGACCCAATAATTTATTTGCCTGATTTACCTTCTTCTCACAATGGCCCGAGAACTTCAGCTCATTGTCAACATACACACCTAGGTCCTTCTCACACACAGTCTCAACTAGTACATTTTCTTCATCCCGTTGGGACATATGGTACGCCTCCTTACCGTTGGTACGCCCCAGGTGCATCCTCTTACACTTCGTGACATTGAATCTCAGCAGCCATTCCTTCGACCATTCCTGGAGCCCACAGAGGTCCTTCTGCAGCTCTTCACAGTCCGCTTGGTTCTTAATTTCCCGAAATAACTTGCCATCATCGGCAAACATTTGTATGGAGGAGTGTACAACGTCAGGCATATCATTTATGAAACAAACAAACAACAGCGGGCCCAATACACTACCCTGCGGTACCCCACTTGTTACAGGTACAGATGACGATTTCGTGCCATTAATCACCACACATTGCTTGCGGTCATGTAGAAAGTCTTCTATCCACGCTAGGACATTTCCCCGAATTCCGTACCCTTCCAGTTTGATTTTCAGCCTTTCGTGGGGTACACTGTCGAAAGCCTTGGCAAAATCTAGGTAAATATTGTCGATATTACCACCCCGTTCTAGAATATGGGTCCAAATATCCAATACCTTGAGCAATTGTGTCAAGCAAGAGCGCCCCGGCATAAAACCGTGTTGGCAATCTTTTACAAGGTTGTTTCGTAGTAGATGTTCCATCGCTGCATCTCTGATAATACTCTCAAGTACTTTACATATTATGCTGGTCAGGCTCACCGGTCTATAGTTGTTCGTGGAGTGACTATCGCCCTTCTTGAAGATAGGACTCACATAAGCCACTTTCCATTCACTGGGGACCATTTGTTCATCCAGGCATTTACAAAACAGAATCTTCAGGGGCTCTGCAAGCTCGTTGCACAGCTCCCTTAGCACTCTAGGATGCACCATGTCAGGTCCAGGACTCTTATGGACCTTTAGCCTGGACAGTTTATTTCTAATACCCTCTTCTGTGAACACAATGTGGGTCAGTGCTGTGTCGAACCGTCTGTCCTCAAACGCAGGAAGGTTAGTTGCATCCTCTCTTGTGAACACTGAGGAAAAGAAGCTGTTCAATGCCTCAGCTTTATCCTGGTCAGAATCTGCGTAACTACCATCTTCAAGCCTCAGGTCTGATACTCCTACTCGCGTTTTCAATTTCGACTTTGCATAGCGGTAAAACGCCTTTGGGTTTGACTTGACCTCGCGTACTGTTACATTATGTTTATTCACAACTATAGTTGAAGTAATAAAACACCCTTCCTACAGTATAACAACTACCGTGTTTGTTTGTTTTTCGAAACCCAAATTCTCGCTTCCGAGGGCAACACCTTCTGGATGATGAAAAACTGAAGCAGGATGCTGACTCGAATGAGTCTCAATTGGAGTAGCAGACGGAACATTTCTTTAAGAGTAGCATAATAAATTTGAAGAAAAGGTGGTTTAAGTTTATTAAATTACGGGAAGACTATTATGAAAAAAATGTACGAGATGTTCTGCCTTTTTATTATCTGTACAGTACTCGTATATACAGTTTACCAAACTTTTTTCACCTCCCTCACAGTGCAACAGTCAGGGTGTAGTGTACGAGAGCCTGAGGCCGCTGGTCCCACCCACCACGCAGGGTCGGTAACTCCCCTCAACACTTTGTTTACGTTTTTCATTCACCTTCATTCTTTTCCCTTCGTTATTTTTGTAAGTATTTAGGTGGAGTCCATTTTAATATTATGGTCTTGTTATTTAATTTTTGGAATAAAGAGAGGTTATCATGAGGTGTAGAAAGGCAAAATGAACTTGTAGTTGACCCACTCCTCTTTTCCTATCAAGTATTTATTTTATCCTTTAATTTTAATAATTGTTGGGATATATTTTCATTACAATCATCACTTTAGGGTTTCCATAGTAATTTGTGATTGTATATTATAGGGTATTACTTTGAAACATGGATTCATTTTAACCAATAACTTTATGAATATTTTGTACAGAAAACTTTTCCTACCTCAAGAATATCCCAAAAATGTGGAGAAATTGCAATTGTAATAGAAGTGTTTAACCCTATTATCTTTATGAGAAGGTACAGTACTCAGTGTCACCCAAGGATGCTGTGTTTGTGCCCTCTTCTATTGACAAATGCTTCCCAGCTACCAACCAAATGCTTCCCAGTAATATTTCCACACCTTACCTAACTAAACCTATCTAATTCAAAATATATTCTTCCATCCTAGGATAAGTAGTTAAGTAGTTTTGATTTGTTCATCTTATGTTAAGACATCGTTTAATGTAAACAAGTCAAGTTAGCATTGCAGAAAGCTAGTGTGGCAATGTAGTTTCATGTTGACAATGAAATAAATCACCCCCCCCCCCCAAAAAAAAAATATAACAATAATAAAAATAATAAAAAAGTTAAAATTCATCCGCATTTTTTGGGATACCTGCACTGTAGTCTAGAAGTGAGATTTCTTTTTTCAGTACAAAATACCTGTACTGTATATAATAATAATAATAATAATTAATGTTTTATTGAAAAAGTTCTGCCGGTCCAACGAATTACCCAATAGTACCCAAAAGAATATTAAATCAGGGAAAAATCTTAACGAATATATGTTTTACATCAATAAAACCTGATTAATAATGTTTTCATTGAAATGTAGTCAAAATAATGAAATAATAAACAGCGAAAAACGCTAAATTCCAAAGAGTCACCTATCCAAAATGGAGATATAATTACCGATGTTTCTGTTACTTTGGGGTATTTAACATAGTCGTAGGATTTACTTTTTGTTAGGTTAGCGAAGTGCATCACGATGGATCTGAGTTATCTCCCTTGTTCACGAACTCTTTGGAATTTAGCGTTCGCCAATACTGAAATTTTTTCACTGTTTATTATTTCATCTTACAAATTAGTTTTACAAAATTACTCTAAAAATATTATTAAACATGTTTTGTGTATGTATAACAGATATTCGTTAAGATTTTTCCCTTATTTGCTATACTTTTGGGTAATTCGTGGCTCCCAGTTCTGCAGCCCGAAGGCTGAAAATATACATTGGACATAAATGACTTATTACATACATTGGCATTGGTAGTTTAACAAAAGTCTTCATTAGAGAATGGTAAAGGAACATACAGTGAACATACAGATCAACGTTTACAGTGGAGGTCACGTAGATCATGTGCGCTGAGGTGTTGAACAGCAGATACGTAGTGTAGTAACTCCCTCACAGATGGTGTTATGAGGGGCCTGACGTGGTGTAGTAATTCCCTCACAGGTGGTGATAGGAGGGACATTACGTGGTTCAGTAGTTCCCTCACAGATGGTGTTCTGAGGGACCTCATGTGGTTTAGTAGTTCCCTCACAGATGGTGTTGAGGGGCCTGATGTGGTGTAGTAGTTCCCTCACAGATGGTGTTATGAGGGGCCTGAAGTGGTGTAGTAATTCCCTCACAGGTGGTGGTTACGTGGTTCAGTAGTTCCCTCACAGATGGTGTTCTGAGGGACCTCATGTGGTTTAGTAGTTCCCTCACAGATGGTGTTGAGGGGCCTGATGTGGTGTAGTAGTTCCCTCACAGATGGTGTTATGAGGGGCCTGAAGTGGTGTATATGTAATGTACTTGATGAAAGTGGTCTGACTTTACTCCAACTCAAGGAAATTTCTTCAGAGAAGATAAAAACTTTCTTTCCTTTAGAAATTAAAAAAAATGCACGAGGAATATGTTTTGCATAATGTCACTTCTTAAGTCTGAAATCAGCAAAGGAAGACCAGCTAAACAACCTTGCCATTTTTAGACTATGAGTGATTTTTTATTAACGAAAGGAAGTTAAATTATTTTGAAAAATAAGTTAGAAATTAATTGCAATACAGAGTATTTTAGTTTAGGTTTGGTGGGTTAGTTTTCTTCATTTTATGAAAAATAAATTATAGAATGTAGCAGTACAGTATCTGAAAAATAATCCATGAAATTAATTAACACTTGATCACAGGAAATAAACACGAGGGACAGAGGTGACGCCTCCGGAGATGGAAAACGTAAAAAAAATGTAAAAGTGGAATTACACAAAATCAGTTCCAATTGTATTTTTATTCTGTTTTGCGTGGTAAGAAAGCTTTTATCTTGTATGGAGAAATCTCCCTGGGTTAGTGTTGAGGCCAGACCACTCTTGTCAAGTATTACCAAGTTTTTTCTATAAAAAATTCTAAAGTTGCTGGTTAACACAAGTCGGTGTTCAAAGATATTATTTATTATACTTTTTCAGTCATAAATGGAAGTTAAAATGTAAGGCTAGTTGACTTGGACGGCATTGTTGTAGGTATTAACTCGTGATCTGGCTGATTTTTACACATTTTATACACTGAAAGAAACTACTGTTGTATTTACAATTTTGGATTTTCCAGAATTCATTTTGGCTGAAGATGTTGAAATTTTGGCAATGCCAGTAGTTAAGATTCTTTAGGTGAATTTATAGTCTTACACCGGTCTTTCTTTCTCTGCTAATTGTACTGACAAATCGTGTCACGTTGTCTCATGTGATGCCAAAGAAATGAGTGAATCTTAATAAACCTAACCTTGAGTGAAAGTCAATGAGATGAGCTCCTCTTCTTGGTTATTACAAGAGAAAACATGATTTACATTTTGAATTTTTTAAAAATATTTTGCTTATCCTTCTTACATCATTAATGAAACTGGTTTAGCATTTGCACACTATTTGAGAAAAAGACTTAGCACTCTGCCAGCCTATTTGGAACCTTAGCTAATAATACAGAAAATATATGAAAATTCATTCTTAAATGGGGTCAGTGTGAGCGTTGAGTTTATAGCTGCTTTAGGCTGCTTTCTGGCTCGGTCTGATTTACTCACATTAACCCCTTCACTGTGAGGACACCATTTTTATTATTCATGTGGGTAACACCAGATAATTTTATTCATCTCAGAGGGGGAACCTGTACATGAGGGGTTGAGGATGTGATACTCTGCAATTTTTTGTAATACCCTGTACTTGCACAGTAATTCTAAATTTGCAACCAAAAAGAGTTTGCTAATGGTAATTTGCAGCCTAATTTTGTAAGAGACCGAAACATGTGGGACTTAGTAAAAGGTGAAAATAAAACTGTTTTGTAAATCATAATGGAATTTTTTTACATTTTTAAAACTTTTATGTATGCTTTCTGACACATTAACATTCTTTTAAACTATCCTTCACTTTTGCAGTATCACCTACTGGTAAGTCACCACATTATTTTCATTACTGCCAACATGTTTCTTCCTTTTGCCTCCAGTGTACAGTATATCATGTTTCCAACCCATACAAGAATGCCCACTCAACTCTTCCCCTAATATCCATATCTTTGCCTTAGATACTGTACACTTCTTTCTCTCTCTTGATACTTATTATTTTCTTTTTCCTAAGCTTCCATATTATTCAGTTGACTGTTCATTGTTCCATTCATTGACACATCCACTCTCAGGTACCCAAAACACCTCAGCGCCTCCATAATGTTACCATCCAAACTAATACCATTGCCTCCTGGAATTCGATACTGTTGACCTATGACTGTGCATACCAACTTTTGTGTATCTTGAAATATAAATTCTTATTTTAAACCATTCAGGAGTACAATGGAGAGACACTACCAGCACGGAGTTTAAGATGCGAGTGCTGCGATCCGTGCTGGGAGGGTGTGTGTGTGTCGTGGCCTGCGTGGTAGTGCTGACAACCATTACATCCACACCACCTACAGGCCCAGCCATACACTCCATTGTTTCACACAACCTAAAGGTAAGGTAACTCCCTCTTCTGTACTGTACCAAACAATATACAGTAAAACCTCGTTAAGGCGGACCCCGCTAAGGCGGATATCGCTTAAGCTGGACAAAACTATTTTCCTAAAAATAATTTAACATTTTTAGAAAAGTAGGACAAAATTTGTCCTCCGATGACATGTCTGCAAAATTTCAAAGGACCAAGGCAGGAAACATAAACAGAGTTCTCAGTTGTTTGTGGGAATATTTTTTCATTCACTCTAGTACGTAATGATAGAATGTTTCTTATAATGTTATCGTAGGTAAATGCATGGTTTATATAATTTGTTGATCACTGTGCCCATCACCGTTTTCTAATTAGATTACAAGATATATATTTCTCCCATATGTATTTCGATCATACGCCTGGCAACGGGAGCCAGTGAGTGACCACTAGTTAAAGCGTCGTCTGCAGTTGTAACTCTCCTTCCTCCCTGCTGTATTTCACTGGATTTACTGTTATTATTAGTGTTTACTGATATACTTGTGTTTAATAGTGATTAGCATGGCATTGTAGCCAGGTTGAACTCATCACTAACCACCAGGCTACTGGGCCATGCTGTGGTGTTATGGGTGTTTTTCAACTCATATTTTTTGGTAGTTATACATAACTTTCTTCACTTATTTTTACTCAGTTACAAGCACACACCGTCCTACATACATATTGTGAAAAAAGTAAATGAAATAATTGTCCTAAGGATAAACACTTACAGGGAATATACCTTCTTTGCACAGAGTTAGCTGGCTGAGTGAGGGAGGGGAAGACGGTCGCAGAGTGTACAGGGGAAATTGGCGTGCCAGCTGATGTAATATGGTGAACCAGGGAATACAGTCGCCCTTAACATGCGTAACAGATACCCGTGATGTTATAATCCCACAACTGAAAACCATTCGAAAAGCGATTACGGTAACATCTTTTGAACGAAAGAAAGAGAAAGTCATTGCTTTCGTCACAATTTTATCCCACTTTCCACTGTAATACGTACATCATTTCAGCAAAAATATTACATTTCCATGTTCTCAGAAATAAATGGTAGTTTTGTTGAAACGTAATGTACAATATTTAATATTAAAATGCAAAAATAGCTATAAAAACAATTAATACACCCGTAATGTACTGGCTGGCATCTCCACTCGTCCCTGCTCCCGCGTCCAAGGTCACCACTCCTCCCAACTCGCTCCCTCCGCTCCCTCCTCTCCTCCACCTCCTCTGCCTCCTCCACCCCCTCTGCCTCCTCCCCGTCACTACTGCCGACAACGAACACAAATGTTTTGTGAATAACTGCACCTCCACTTCCTATGTACAGTACTGAACTGTACTGTGCTGTGCATTTTTACAAACAATAAACATGGCAAGAAAAGCTATTAAAAAAAAAAGAGATAAAAATTTCACTTTACTGTACAGTACCTATCCTCGGCGACAGGACGGGGGTCATCGGGCTCATCGTCACTCAATTCCATAACGGGTGGTGAAGTGGGGGCGACGGTGGATTCAGCTGCTTCCTCACTGCCGCCAGTGATTGATGGTGTTAAATCTCTCCTTCGGTGATCAAAGAACATGGTGATGGGGAGTTGTCGTCTCTTTCTTTCATTTCTTCCATGATGTTTTTGTATGGAGCGAAAACGTCATCCATCCCTCGCATGAATTTCAGGGCACGCACCATGGAGGGGTCCATACTATAGGCCAGGTTTTTCAGTGCCTCAATATTCCTGGTCATCTCCCCCAACTTCTCCAACGTTATTTCTTGGTGCTCTTCCTCATCCTCTTTCCCTTTCGCTTCCTCTTCCTTGCCTGAGTCTACTAACTCCTGTAGATCCTCCTCGGTCAGCTCAGTGTCGTGCTCTTCAATTAGCTCCCTAATCTTGTCCTCTGCCATGTCCTGGAAGCCTTCAGCAGCCACTTTCCTTGACAGTGCCAGGGTCTTTCTGAATATTTTCATTAAAATCCATCAAAATCATTTTCCTTGTCATCGTCTTAAGCACCAAACAGCTCCTCCCAGTCTTCTCCTTGAACAGGGCTAGAGGGTACGTGTTTTTCGAATCGTTTTCAATTAAAAAAATGTTACAGCACATGTATATTTTACCTAAACTGTGCCTGAATGAATATATTCTCAGAAATAAATAGTAGTTTTGCTGAAACGTGATGTATTTCAATGTAAAATAGGATAAAATACATGACGAAAACAAAAGACTTTACCTAACCTTCCAATGTTCAAGAGATGTTACTCGTTTTTTAATAGTTTTCGGTTAAAATACTGTTATATTACAATGATATATTCATACTGTGCTTGATATACTACATTCACGGAAATGTAATATTTTTGCTGAAATGACGTACGTATTACAGTGGAAAGTGACGAAAACAATTACTTTCGCTTTCTTTCGTTCAAAAGATGTTACCGTAATCGCTTTTCGAATGGTTTTCAGTTAAAAAAACTGTTGCATCACAAGTGAATTAGGATAGAATATTATTGTAATACAACAGTTTTTTAACTGAAAACCATTCGAAAAGCGATTGCGGTAACATCTTTTGAACGAAAGAAAGCGAGTCATTGCTTCGTCACTTTCCACTGTAATACGTACGTCATTTCAGCAAAATATTACATTTCCATATTCTCAGAAATAAATAATAGTTTTGCTGAAACGTAATGCATTTCAATGTAAATTAGGATAAACTACATGAAAACAAAAGACTTTACCTAGCCTTCCGATGTTCAAGATATGTTACTCGTTTTTTTAGTAGTTTTCGGTTAAAATACTCTTATATTAGTGATATTCTATTCATACTGTGCTTGATATGATACATTCACGGAAATGTAATATTTTTGCAACTACAATGCTGATGTCAACACAAGCGTGGTTACAGCGAGACTGACTGAGTGAGGGAGAGCTATGCGTGTGTGTGTGAGGGAGCGGGCGGTGTCCCGTGTTCGGTGCCGCGCGCGATTTGAATGTACTTCAATTACTTCAATGTACAGAATATTCCTCCGGCGGGGCAATCCGCGTATTTGCAAATCCGTGTATTATAAACCCGCGTATGTTAAGGGCCGACTATACTGTCTCTAGACCAAGAAGCTCCCTGTCCCAGCCACGAAAATGCCGGCAACTTTAAAACTACCTTTAGACATTCTTGGGTACATCCAGGGTGCCATCCGTGAATAATAGAGGACCGCGAAATAAAAATCGTTGAATTTGGGGGGGCCCCCTGTACTGTATACAGTACTGTATATTATTTTAAGAAAACTATGGCTACAGGAGAAAAATACACACAAAAGTTTTATCCTAAATACTCCTACTGTAAAATACCGTACGGTACTGTATTTTTTATATTTTTTATGTCATTATTTATTGTTTTTATACATTTAGTACATTCACCATAGGCTGAAGTAGCATTAATATTTTTTGCATTATTATTAAAAAATTAAACAATAACCACGGCCCCTGGAATGTGTTTGGTATCCATAAGGGCGATGAGAAGGTTAAGCCTAAGACCTTATCAGTGAACTAAAAGTAAGTGTACAGTACTTTTTAAAATGAATTTTGATTAAAAAACATGTATTTCTTTCATAAAACTTGGATACATTGGTGTTGTACCCTTTTTTTTTTTTTTTTTAAATGGCGGTCTTTTGGGAAAAATTTGTTCTAAGGTGGACAACCTCTTACCCCGGACATCCCTTCCCCCAATTAGTCGGCCTTAGCGAGGTTTACTGTACATTTTTCCGATAAACCTGATACAGTACTGGACATAGTTAGTCTAAACTGTCAGAGGATAGATTGGAGCCTATCCGTACTGAACCTACACTAGAGATACAGTATATCCTGCCTCAAGCTAACTGTTATTTTGATAATATATCCTGCCTCAAGCTAACTGTTATTTTGATAGTATATCCTGCCTCAAGCTAACTGTTATTTTGATAGTATATCCTGCCTCAAGCTAACTGTTATTTTGATAGTATATCCTGCCTCAAGCTAACTGTTATTTTGATAATATATCCTGCCTCAAGCTAACTGTTATTTTGATAGTATATCCTGCCTCAAGCTAACTGTTATTTTGATAGTACAGGTATATCCTGCCTCAAGCTAACTGTTATTTTGGTTACTGTAGTTACTTCTGTACTAAATGGTATACCGGTATTACTGTACTCTTATTACTGTTGTGTTATAAACAGGATTGGGTGTCTTAACCAATAGAGTTAACCCATATTTTGAGTACATTATTAACTAGTTCAAATAAGTCACATGGGCTGTGTGACAACAAGTAACATCTCACCTACCAGTTAGTTACTTCAATTCTTTTGTTTACTTTGACCAAAATTAATTTCAGAAGCGATGAGAAAACAATACTGTACTATAATAATATTTTTTGGTGATAAAAATGAATATAAATAATGATAATCAAGGTATATTGGGCTATTTTATAATCGGACAATAATTATTTGGGAGCTCTATGTTTCTGGCAAATGTTTAGACACATTAGAAGTTTCTGGAATATCAACAAACCCATTTAACCCACATTTAGGGAACTCAACTTCCAAAGAGATGTATTTACAGGTACTAAACACTTAATAGTACACAACAGTATACAGTACAGTACTTTATAGTTTTTGGTAATTTTGTCACATAATATGGGACAAAGCACATGGCCAAGGATGCCAACATATAGAAACAAGTATAGGTGGTGATTGGACTCGTATTGGACCTAAAAGATTCCTACTATTATATACTATCCCAGTACAGTGGGTAATTGGTGTTCAATAAAGCCAATTCCCAATACAGGGGACCCCCCACGTTCGCGGATTTTTACTTCGCGGTTCTCAGTTATTCGCGATGACACCCTGGGTGTATCCAAGAATGTCCGTGGGTAGTTTTAAAGTTGCCTGCATTTTCACGGCTGGGACAGGGAGCCATTCGTTCTAGAGACAGTAATTTCATTTACCTGTATTGTATATATGTCTGTGTGTGTGTGTGTCTACACGCACACACGCACACATATAATACTACAGGTAAAAGAAATAATTGTCCTTTGTACACAAGTAAATATGTAATATCCCCTCCCCCCCCCCTTCTTCCCGGTCCGCAAATGTTATTTGTGGATCTGGCGATTTGCTGCCATTTCGAGAACCTAACCCCCACGAATTTGGGGTCCTGCCTGTATATGAGTTGTCCGACATAGTGAGGTTCTCCTGTACAGAATTTTTATCCGTTATTTGGTTGTTCCTACGTCAAGAAGACCAGTACTGTGTAGGAAATGTACAGTATCTACCCACCCTGAGTACTGTAGTCTGGTGGTGACAAACATACAAACTCATACTGGATATCATAGTAATAATGCTCATGTAGTGTGTCATATTTATGTGAAGAGAATGTTTGGTTTGTCTTCTCAGACTTCAGTGTTATTATTTGGTGTCATATCCATTTAATTTTCTTCCTGTAGGAGGAACTAGAAGGGAAGATGACCTGTGATGAGGAGCACTTAGAGAAACTGGGCTTTGTGGAGAATCCTCAGCTATACCCGAAACACCTGTGGGACAACCTGAGTACACCCGTTGTGGCATCTGCTGTGAGTCACCCACTATTACCACCTGTTAAAATCCCCTTCTTTATCTTGCCTTTCTTACCTTTGTTTTATCAGAGTTTTGGATATATGTTGTGTCATTTTAAGATCATTGAAAGGTTGTAGGTTATGTATTGTTCTGATCAGGAGCTCTTAGCCAAGGTTTTATGACAGCCATGAGCTACGACACCCTACCTGGCTCAGAAATAGTCATGTCTTGATGTATGACCTCCACCCATTCTTAAGCTGTTTTAGAATCTCTCGGGTCACTCGTGAGGGTTCATAAGTCATAAGTGAAGGAATAATGCATTAAATCCTGTTGTTGAAATGAATGCCCTGGATTCCTTCCCTTCTCCCAAAAGTGAAGTTTTAAATTAGCTGGAGTTGGATGGATTAGCATAAACCTTTGTATGGGTGTGGCAGTTCAGGACACATGAAGCTTTATGGGAGTGGACAACTCTTGACTGGTCCTGAGTCAACTACTGAATAAGTGTTTCATATACTGTCCATGTACTTATTGAACTGGATGAGAAGGCTACTACCATTATAAAACATTGTCTGAGTGAGTAATGTGCCCTGCTATTGGGAAATCAAGTTCCCTGTTAATGTTAGGATCTGCCAGGGAGCTCTTACTGGTAAGATTGTTTGTCCCATCAACTTTACAATGTGATTTCTTTCATCATTTGTTCATTTATAATCCATTATCAGTGAATTCAGCAAGATCTTGTGACACTGTTCTTTATGGCCACCTGCCAATATATTTCTATTCTTTTTTCTATTTGTCTTGGACAGGTATCTAGTGGGCAAGTGTGGCAGGTGGAGGGACTGCTGGGACTGGCACAACAAGTATTGTCCAACCTGACTGTTGTGGTGTACAACCTTGATCTGTCTTTAGTGGAACTCCAGCAGGTAAGTTCCTTATAAAAGAGTTAATAAATGTAAAATTTATTCTTTATAAGTACAGTATAAATAAATTTTGGCTTATCATTTTGTTATAAATATGCAAGTGTGATTTTAGTATATTTTTTCCCATTGATATTGTTTTGGCCTGACAATTTAAGTTTTAATTTCAGCTTGAGGAAGCATGCAATACATCATGTGTAGTGGTGACCTTTGACTTCAATACATACCCGTCTCACGTCCGGGACCTACGTCTCAAAGCTTACCGTCCCATCATTATTCAGGTACAATATGTTGCTCTTATTATGTCTCTCAATTTTAATTAGGGTGAAAAATATTATGGCCGTCATTCCACCTGTGTGAAAGGTTGTTTCAGTCTTAGCTCGGTTTCCAGTGTTAACACCTCCTCTGGTTTCTTCACAAGAGGCACTTTACATACAGAAGAACTTAAAGGATACTTTGGGGAAGCCATCGACAATGACAAAAAAGTCCAGTCAAGTCAGTGAGTGGAACAAATGTTTACATTCAACAAGCTCCTGGTGCACTCTGGCATGCAAGATGCATTACATGTGGGAAAGATAAAAGGTGCAATGCACCTCTTGTGTGTGTGTGCAAACCTTAATTTTGGATTAGTGAAATTGGGGTTCACCACCATCATTTTACAACCATTTTCCATGCTTGTGTGGGTTAGCCATTATTACCTGATTGCAGCTCTTTAAGCTGCATGGTCTCAGGTACTTATCTATGAGGTAACTTCTCAGAACCACATTCAACCTTGTGCATTTTTTGACCCAATTGGTCTCGTCATCCTCTCCACTTACCTGACCGTCTCATCCTACCTCTGTGCAAAACCTGAGCAATATTCTCAATGCCCAGCCACCCATGTACTCTTACAGTGGTCCTCTAACCTCACACAATGCCATAACCACTTGTACAAGATACTGATTCTTCTTGACTCTCAACTTTATCATTGCCCACTGATTTACCTATGTTGCACCCTGTCTGAGGTTTTGTCTGTCTATCTCATCATCTCCTCTCACTTCTTTGTCAAGGGAATGAGATGGAACAGCAGAAGTACCATCAAGCTTGGGGAGAGTTAGCTTAAAATTGAACTTTCTGTTTCAGGAGTTATTGGTTCGTTCAGGAGCTGTGATGTGGCTAGATGCGAGTGTACGGTTAGCAGATGAAACCCAAGACACTGATAAAGCAGTAGACTGGAGTGAAATGGCATTAAAAAGTGGGGGGGTCTTGACCTGGCCACTGCCCAACCCAGCACCTTTGCCCTCGGCAGCTCTCACACACCCCAACATGTTTACCTTCTTCCACACAAAAAAACACAACTATGACTTCCAGCAGGTAATGGATTAATATATGGTACACAAGGTCCTTTTGTACTTGTTTAGAAGATCTGTAAATCCAGCTGGAAAGGTATTAATAAATGTTTCAGTATAAAGATCTATTTGTACAAATTCGGGTGAAGTAGGGGTCCACTCTTCCAGTAGTGATTAAGATGATTTTAAGGTGGGGGAATATGTCACAAATGGAAGGACTACTTAAAAGATGCATTTCCAAGATGTGGAGGATAATAAAGTGCCAAAGAACACCGGTAACATGTGATATGTGTTCTTGGGTTTTGTAATTGTTTCCGACTCAGTGTATTTTTTAACTGAATAATGTATGGTAAACAGTACAGTATGTTGAAAGATGAGCTTATACTCTTATACTGGGCTTTAATTTGTCTTGGTATCTTTGGCCACTGCTGGCTATGTGAATATATCCCTAATGTTCCTTATGGTCATGATGGTGGCCCAACTAACACCACACTCCCATACCTACTATACTGTACACAGTCCTTACTGATCTGTTCATCTCTCTAAGCCATCATAGTTGACACATACACCATACTTGTCAGCCTCACTTTGTTTATAGTCTGTCTCTATAGTTTGTTTACAAATATTATTTCACCTTTTCTTCCTTATTTGGTACAAATTTTTGTAGATTATGTTCATTTTGGACTATTTTTGACCATAGAATAATGCACAGTCTAAGTATTTTTTTACCATATATTAGCAAGCAGTGTATTGTATTGTGTTGAAATGATGTCTATTGAATGATTGCTGGTCTGCTGATATATAAAACTAGTCCTATTATAAAAACATAACAGTGTTGAACTAATCTGCCAGTTGCCAAATGTTTGGTATGTGTCCTTATTGAAAATGTTATCTGATCTGTACGTGATTATATACCATCCTAGTTTTGCTTCTAACCCTTTATTTGAAATCACTAAAGTTAAGTTGATAACTAATGAATAAATTTTTTCATAAATAGTATATGAACAGTAAGTTAAATAATGTAAATTAAGAACACTGGATGGATCCTACACAGGTCACTGGCTTTCTTCCCTTGACATGGCTGCCTCTAGCTGGTGCCCAATATGTAAAAATTAAGGAAAATTATCCATATTTTTCAAGACCGAGTTATAGTGGAGACACAATTTCTTCTTAGATGGGAGATGCTGGGACGATGGTCGTGTATAACACATTGGGTGTCCACCAGTACCTGATGAAACCCTGGGTGTCTTGTGCTCTCACACACAACTGTATTAGTCCTATTGGTGCCCAAGACACTGGCTGCAGGTAAGGCAAATATTATGATACTGTATTTCTGCTTGTCCAATTATTCCTTCAATTTTTTCACTTGTGTGGCTCAGATGTGTTAACCCATTTTTAGTCATCTTGCAACAGAAATTTTTTGATCTGTAAATTAGATCCAGTTGAAAGTTTTATAAAGAATTCTTGAAAAAGTTAACCCTTAAGCCCCGGGTTAGGGTGCCGCCGCCGCCCCCGCGCGCGGGGTTAAATCGAGAACAAAATAATCTACGTTAAAAAAAAATGGCGGGAAAATAGGCGGACGTTCTGGAACATCACCCGGGGCGCGCTAGTCGGATGTTCTGGGACGTCACCCGGAGCCTAAGGGTGAGATTCCCTTTTTCTTATTTCTTTCATATGATCCCAGTTCTTGATGGCTGACCATAGTATCTATTGTGAGTTAGTATGCAATATCTTTATGATTCTCTTACAAATGTTATTTCACCTTTTGTTCCTTATTTGGTAACTTTTCACAAACTTTGATCATTGGGGCGACTTTTGATCATTTGTTACTGTACTGCAGGGAGTCTCTGTATTGTTCTGAAATGATGATTATGGAAGAAATACCTGGGAAAATGATGCTCTGCTAATAGTCACTCCACACAGTGTCCCTTGATCCACTCTACAGTGTCCCTTGATCCACTCCACACAGTGTCCCTTGATCCACTCCACACAGTGTCCCTTGATCCACTCCACACAGTGTCCCTTGATCCACTCCACACAGTGTCCCTTGATCCATTCACAGTGTCCTCCACTCCACACAGTGTCCCTTGATCCACTCCACACACAGTGTCCTTGATCCACTCCACACAGTGTCCTTGATCCACTCCACACAGTGTCCCTTGATCCACTCACACAGTGTCCCTTGATCCACAGTGTCCCTTGATCCACTCCACACAGTGTCCTTGATCCACTCCACAGTGTCATCCAGTGTCCTTGATCCACTCCACACAGTGTCCTTGATCCACTCCACACAGTGTCCCTTGTGTCATCACTGCACACAGTGTCCTTGATCCACTCCACACAATGTCCCTGATCCACTCCATCCACTGTGTCCCTTGATGTGGTGTCCCTTCCTTCATGTCCCTTATCCACTCCATCCACTGTCCACACAGTGTCCCTTGATCCACTGCACACAGTGTCCCTTGATCCACTCCACACAGTGTCCCTTGATCCACTCCACACAGTGTCCCTTGATCCACTCCACACAGTGTCCCTTGATCCACTCCACACAGTGTCCCTTGATCCACTGCACAGTGTCCCTTGATCCACTCCACACGCCCTGGTGTCCCTTGATCTACACAGTGTCCCTTGATCCACTGCACACAGTGTCCCTTGATCCACTGCACACAGTGTCCCTTGATCCACTCCACACAGTGTCCCTTGATCCACTCCACACAGTGTCCCTTGATCCACTCCACACAGTGTCCCTTGATCCACTCCACACAGTGTCCCTTGATCCACTCCTCACAGTGTCCCTTGATCCACTCTACATGGGTCATGATGTAGTAAACTCCCCATTGTTATAATATATAAAGGTCTGTAACTTTAATTATCATAAACCTATAAAATATCAGTTTATCACTTCGTAAATTATTGTGTATTTATTTTAATAAGCTGTGGAGGCTTGACAACCCAGTCACTACAGTTGAGGGCCCTACTAGGTCATGGATGGTAACCCCCTAAACTGTAGGTCTGGACCCAGTCACTACAGTTGAGGGCCCTACTAGGTCATGGATGGTAACCCCTAAGCTGTAGGTCTGGACCCAGTCACTACAGTTGAGGGCCCTACTAGGTCATGGATGGTAACCCCTAAGCTGTAGGTCTGGACCCAGTCACTACAGTTGAGGGCCCTACTAGGTCATGGATGGTAACCCCTAAGCTGTAGGTCTGGACTTGGCTCACTTTCCTTTACTTTTCCTTATGTTTGTGATTGATGAAGTTCACTTCTTCACCTCCATATGTTGTTGTACAGCAAGTGATGACTGTATCATCTATGTGATGGTTAATTCTCCACATAGAATTGTCACCAAATGTTTTAAATAATACTGCAAAAGTCTTTGAATACCTGAAAGTGTATAGCTATTATACTTGAAAATTGTATCTAAGTGGAGTGCTGACATGTGTTCTTGTGTACAGGTACGACAAAAAACCATTATTCCGCTACTCTGGCTGCCATCACTACGACGCCTCGGCATTTAATGTCGCCTTGGGTGTAATGTTCTCGTATGACACTCGGCCATACCTGGCTGCTTCTTCCCCCTTTGGCCGAGTGTCAAGGAAACCACAGCAAGAGGTGGATGATTTGCCAGGGGAAGAGGGCACTAACACCTCCATTAGAGATAACTCAACTAGGAAATACAGTGGTAGGAAGACAGTGAAGGTAATCAGTCTGGACTCATCCCACTCTGGTGGTTCATCTCTGAGACATAACCATCAAAACATAATACCAAGTTCTGGTAGCAGAGGATTTATACAAGTTGATGAGAAGGTGGGAAGAATTACTAATGGGAAAAATAAGAGTAGAGACACTACCAGTGTGCTGCACATCACACACACCGGTTCTGCTGTTGATAATGAAGTCGAGCATTGACCCAACCTTGCGTGTGATATAGCTTCAGTATCATCAACTACCATTGTTATTTCTACCTCTTGAATTCCATCTTATGTAAATTAATTTCTTTAAGTTAACATGATCATATACAAAATTTAGATTGAGACAATACACTTGGTTTAACATTGAGAACTATTATTGTAATTTTAAAGGAAAGTGACCATACACAAAATTTAGATTGTTTTGAAACACTTTGCATGGTTTAATGGTGAAAATTAATATTGTGCTAAAATTATTATTGTGCTTTGTGAATTAATGTTAGGTAAGTTATGCAAGATGTGTTTATATAATGTATACACATTGAACTCAGCAATAGAATCAGCTTTCAGTAGTAGCCATGGCAGTGATAACCAAGTTGTTGTTTCATTAACAGTCGTCAACATAATTTTTCTGGTCTTATTCCAGAGTCAAGCTTGACAATATTGTATTTAAATACTGTAGTCTTTATAAACCAAAGATGGGGATTAAGGGGAAATGTGGAAAGAGTAACTTTTGCTTTGTGATTTGTACATTTGGGTATTTTTGGAGCTAAGTCAAAAAAACTTCTTTTGTATATATTTAACCAACAGCCAAACTATATTTACTTGAAAATCCATTTCATTTATCTTTAATCTTATTATTTTTCTAGTGCTTTTCCAGTCATTAGTTTGTATTTCATCATAGTATTTAGTTATCTGTAATTGGGAGTTTTATACTGTCGATTATTTTGTTTATCATTTATTGCTAGATGTTATTGTCAATTTATCTTTGATCTGGGAACTTTGATTGTGACCAGTAATGATATTTTCTGAAATTCATAATACTTTCTCCTTCTATCTATATGTACTAGGTAGATAGTACAGTAACCATCCAGTCTCAAGCACTACCTTCAGGCTGACAACTGTGAGTTATTGAGTTTTGTAAAATTACACTAACTTTTGTCCCAGTACTGTATAGTGTGGATTGTCACATACAGTTTGTACGAAATCTATATCACTGACACAATTTAAGATTTAGTTATTTTTGTAGAATGATCATTACAAAATGAAGGGGAACATAATACTGTATTGAATATTATTACAGGTATAGGCACTTGATATATGCAGTAAACACAGGTACATTGCTACACATATAGGAGAAGTTGCTGTAGTAGTGGAGCACATTATGAATCCCTTGTACAGGATGTCTAATTTGTTATGCTCCCTAGGAAATACATTATTGCAGGAGATTTTCAAGTGTTTCACCATCTACTTCAAAACATAAGTGGATTCTATGTGAACATGATGCCTCAACTCTCACTGTTATGTCTTTGGTAATCTTATTACATTCAAATGTGTTGTTCTGGCTTAAGTCTTCAGTGATTCTTGCACTGATCGGTGTGTAGTATCTGGCTCTCTGTACAGGAATATAAAACTGCCTCTTTCCTCTAGTGTTAATTTCTCAATCATTGTTCCTTGATGGTTTATGATTCCTATGGTGGGCAACATATGAGACATGCTGTACAATACTCATAACTCCTATCATTAATTACATTCATTTCAATTTTTGTTTCAGCTCTTTCTTATGACTCTCTATGGTACACTTGCTTGCCTCCGTTATGTTCCTCCCTTTATAAAGTTTCTGTTCATTGACTCACCCAAGATGAGAGCAAATAGGGAAGTAAAACAATAGATTGATTCATTTGGAAGATTTATATATAGTACTTGTATATTTTTTTCTCATGATATTTTGGATGCCATTACAACATGCTATATTTTATATTCTTAGGTGTTTGGATTGTACTTATTTTTGTGGTGTATGTATTATTGTGGAATGTTAATAAATACAATACAATACTGTACAAAGAATTGATGGTTACTGTGAGTAGTAAGTTCTTCATGCAATATTGTAATGTTTTGTAGCTCTTGTTGTCATTGTGTGGAATATTACACTACAGTACATGTATTCTCACCTCAAACACTTCAGCAACATAAAATTCATGTGTCAAGTGAGTAACAATGAATTTGCTTTCAATAGAATTCAATACTGTATGTTGATATGTTAGTGTGCTTTGTACTGGGTATTTACTGTGAACATGAAACTCTTGTCATAAGCAATGTGACAGCTTGTGATATAGGTTGATTCCTTTATTATTAAGCACATCTGATAAATACTACAGGTGTAGTGCGTGTGTGTGTGTGGTGACATCCACGTCTTGAAGCTAAGGAGAATTTTCTTTCATAGGGGTTTATATTTCCTCATAGCTAAGGGAAATTTTCATAAAAAATTTTTCTTTTCTTTTTCTTTTTTAATTTACAAAGGAAATGCTGCACAACACATTAGTTCATACATATTGTCTTTTAACCCTTTGAGTACAATGGTCACATGAGTGCTACTTCATCAACATTACCCTTAGGTGTGACAGTAATGCCAAGGCCATCAAAAATTTTTGTCTCATTCAATCTCACATTTTTTTATGAATACAAATTAGCCAGTATTTAATTAGTGCATTTTAATAATTTATGACTTAATATGTAATTAAAATTCTTCTATATTAGTTTTGGCCCATTAAAAACAGTTGAGAGAGGCTAAAATCAGTGTTTTTAAAACTCGGATTCGTTATAAAAACTAAGTTTTTTACAAGATACCTGTACTGTACATTAATATTATTTCCAAGGAATTTGAATGCCACTAATGGAAATCTCAAGGTTTTTAGATATAAGTCAAGTACTGGGTAATTATAATTTATAAATGTTATTTTAATTGTTTCACTGCAAAATTTTAAATTTTGAGAATGCCTGGGAAATCTTACAATTCACTCAAGGGATTAAGAACAATATTCTGTATGCCTTAAGGTCTCTCTAGTGATGTGGTCAAAGTGAACCCATAAACTGTATAAGTGTGAAGGCACTATTTTAGACATGTACTTGAATAGAGTGTTTCATTAAAAAGTGTTTTGGTCAACACAGCACAAGAAATGAAGTGAAAACTGACATGATTGAAGTTCCTCCCAAGAGGTTATCACAGCAGAATCACATTGGGAGCAGCAACATTATGTTCAAATTTTCTTCTCTATGTGACATGGGCAGTTCTCTCTCAGTATTTATTATGCCCCACTATTGAATTTGTGGGATCATGTATCCATTTGTCTGTGTGAAATTTGGTTCAGGAACATATGCTAAGTTTGAGAGTCAGTGTTTTCCAACTTAATTTACTCAAGTTGTGGCCACCGCTCAAGCTTGAAATACTGTTGAGGCTACATCATCATCAGTGATGTAGCCTCAACAAAAGCACAGTACCTTGTACTGTGCTACATCTTGTTTCTGGAATACTTACCAGTGTTGGGCTTGTTGTAAGATGGTATTTGTACTGTATTTAATTCATGAAGACAGGAATACAGTATTGGATAGTTTAAGGCATCTTAAGTTAATTATTTACCTCACTAAATTTTTTGATGATTAATGTTTGTGTGCCATGGATGTAAGGATTAATTGATTATTTACTACATATAGCTGTAAACTTTTTTTCAATCAATTTGCTGTGTCAAGTCTCCAACCGTCAGTTTGAATTTTCAGTAATAGTAAAAGTGCAGTAGATGAAGGAGCACTTTTGTACGTGTGTGTATTGTGGTGTCTACTGGTGCTGTTGTCCTGTGCAGGTGATCATTGTTGAAAATTATCGTGAACATTACTTATAAATTACTCAATTTCCAGGCAGCTAAACCTGAATATAAATCCTTTAGTGTTGTTTGTTTTAGGTTCATGTTATTGTCTTTATAAAAAATGGTTTTGTGATCATGTTTATAACATTAGATGGTGTTCACATCTTTGTCTTGGTAAGAATGGTCATTGTGTTTAGCTCTTGATAATAAATTGCCTTGTCAGATTGATAAGAGTACAGTAGAGAGGCATCTGAAAACTGCTCTCCATTGAGCATTAAATATTATAACAGACCTTGGGTGTGAGTCTGGGACACACTTACTGTGTGTAATAGTGGATATTATCAATTGATTAATTTTGTGTCCAGAGTGAGAACTGATTACATATTGTGTGGGATCCATTTTAACTGTGCCCAGAATAGAGGGTGGGGGAGCACTGCTCCTACAATGAAATTCCTGATCTCTCTCTCCACCAATAATGATTTCAAGTCTTGCAGTCACCTGATAGATACACCTACTTAATTAAACAAATGGTGTAGTATTACTGGGTAACTGCACTGCTGTAGACATGCTCTCATGAGACTTGGGTGATGGAAGTGTGGTACCCCCTCACCCCCATCCTGGTAGTAGAGGTGACAGCTCAATATGATGAAGATGAAGAGTAATGGTGTTGATGATCCACTGATTGGTGTTGTTTTCTCTAGTCACTCTTAGTGTCCCTAATTTTTTCCTATTTATTACAACATAATTGTACAAGTAGTTAAGACATTTAATATTTACATTTAGTCTTCACAAAATAGAAACTATTAATTTATATAGGTTTTCTTGAATATTTCTGATGATGTTGATGGATGAAATGGGCCCCAGGTCTAGTGGTCAGGTTAGGCATAGTTAGATTAGACAAGCTGAGATTAGGAAGATTGGGTCAGGTTAGCTTAGGTGGAGTTAAGTAAGGTCTGGTTGAATTGAGTCAAGATAGGATAGGTTGGGGCCTTGTAGGATTGGAGCTTATTCGATATGCAACCAGTTGTTGATATATTAATCATATGTATCACATGATCTTTTTAGTCTATATATCAGTATTCAGTTGTGTGTCAGCCATGATCATGAACAATTGTGATGTAGATAATGGCACAATGTTTGGTGCTTTGCATGTATTATAACAACCACAGTATGTTTTAACAGGTTAATTTGGTATTGTCATCTTTATTTCTCAATTCTTGATTAACTTTTTTCTTTCCTCCATCTATACATTTCATTGTGAGCTTATTTCCATATTTTGTAAATATTTTCACCTGACATCACCATACATTTTCTTTCTGTACCAGTTCTTAGTTTCATTGTTTTCTTCATAATTTTCAATAACTATCACTAATTAGTTCTGGAGGTTGCCCTTGATGAGGTCCTATAAGGTACATGAACTTACAGTAGTAATATACTGCATAGAGAAAAATAAAACAGTTACTAATGTTTTCTCATAATTTCTATCACGTCCTCTCTGTACTGTTTCCCTCCTTTCTTGAGGCCTCTTGATCCTCTCTACACATAACTGGTGAAGGAGTAAAGGTAACAGATACGTACATAAAATAACACTTACAACATCTCATATTTAATTGATAACATATGTTCTAATGCAAGTGATGATGGCTGTAAAGTGACATATAACTGGACATGCATTTAAGGAATAAAGTAGTTTATTTATGTAGTTTATCTTAACTTCCAGTATACAGTATGTGACCATAGGGAGGAACAGAGAGAGAGAGACACACTAGAGAACTACAAATTGCTCATGTACCAAACTGAATCTTTCCTGCACCACTTCATTACCCCCTGCTTACATTGTTGTTGCATATTCACACATTCGCTATAAATTGTTTGTAGAAAAATCTCATGCATTTTCCTCTTCCTCAGGTTTTCCCAGTATTTCTTTGTCTCAGGACTTACACAGATCATCACCATTTTTCTCAGAACTTAACATTGAGACCATCATCATCATCCCTTCTGGTGATTTCTTTCATTGAGCAGTTGATCCCCCAGGAGGAGTAATGGGTAACTGAGATAGTGTTACTGTAAACAATATAAAACTGAGTGAAATTTCTGTCAAGTAATTTACTGTGTGTCTAAATATCTAGTCTCCAGAAACAGTAGGGGTCTGTGTGAGATGATTGTATGAATAATATATTGTGTAACTTTGTTTTGGAAATAGAGGATAATTAATTTTAAGTAGAATCAAATTACCAGTATCAACATAATTTCTTCAAAATTTAAATTACTAGAAAGGAATCGGTCCTTAACATCAAACTCTTTTGGCTAACGTCCCAAGCATGACTGTACTGTTCATCTACCAGAGCTTAAAGAGGTTTTTACCTTTAATCACCCATAATTGTACTCGTCTATCTATTCAATATATGGAGTAGATCCCTAATAGAAACAGATACATTGCACAAAACTAGAAAGTAAACTACTGATACATATTGAATAATTAGATCCTTTTGTGGTACAGGAGAGAAACACCCAAAGTTAGCAACAGAACCTCTTGCTTACTGTAGTACTGGAGATGTAGCTTGTAATGTATACTGTACTCTGAAGATCACACAGTAGATGTTCAGTGTTGTTTTGCTCTCGGTCATCCAACTTACTTATATACTGTGCTAGACTTCTCTCTGCCTCTCCCCAAGTTATCTTTTAAGTCGCCAGGAGTCCATTCTCATCGATGTCCTGATCATTTTCTCCTCTTTCTCCTCTCCTCTCCTTCCCCATTATTCTCTCTTCTCCTTCCCCATCATTCTTACAACTTATATATCCAAGGACATTCTGTTTGGTATTATTCCTGAGTCACATAAGTAAGTTAATATTTTACTACAAAGTCCATCTGCCATCACAAGTCATATTTGCATTATGAAATATTCACTCCACCCCTAACACATTGCTGATCATTAACAATGTAAGGTACAGTATACATTAATTTTATGTACTGAACTGTATCATATGTCATATTTAGCCTTCAAGTGATAGTGTACAGGTAATATACTACTGTACTTATGTAGCATTCTTTAGTTTTTGTTTTAAACATTCACCTCCTGCTTGCTTGTCATGTTCTGACATATTCATCACACACACACTAGTACAGTATTGTATAGTTACTGTATTGTATTCCTTGCTTGTGTTCTCATCTTTTCTTATTTCCACACATTCCAAATTGTCTTTTCAGCATTTATTATTTCTACAAACTAATTCAGTATTACAAACCAAAGTAGTAGTTTATTGTGTTTTAATCCTAACATGTACAATCAGAGATAAAAGTAGTGTTGCAGTTTTGTCCGAAGATTAAATATAACTCTTGAAACATTATGAGAGCCCCCTACCACAAGGCAGAGTGCACCAAAAGGTTAGCCCTTCGGCATATGTTTTCACTAAATTTCACGACACGACTTTTGTCTTTCATTGTACACTGAATAACAGGCTTATTATACTGTATTTGCATTTTAAGGGCAATAGTATTTTACAGCAAAACCTTTTACTCGTCATTCAGAATGTTCCTAATAAATATTTTAAACCTGCCTCATTTACCTTACAGCACCAATTTCTAAATTCATAAGTTAAGTTTATTTAAAAAATCTAAATCTATCCTAAACAGATATAGTACAATACATGTCAATTTACAACAGTCCTTCCGACTCATTTTAACAGTCGTACGTTATATTACTCGAGGCCTGATTATATAGGGTAAATTGCTTCTAAAATGTAAGAAGCTAATAATATTTCCTAACCCTTACTTCAGTGGATTAGGTTAAGTCACTCACTGCATCCATCATATCCCAGTCACCTCTCTCCTCAACTCATTTAAATGGTCTTATCCTATAGTTCGGTAATTCAGGTGTCGGCCAATGTATATGAGCAGGTTATTCTTCTCTTTATTATGATTTTATTAATCTGTACAGTACTGTACCATGATTTTGGTTATGACAGTTACTGTGTTGTATTGATCAAGTTTTCTTGTCATAATTGCTTTTAACCTTATTTGTATACTGTACAGTATTGTGTCAGGACATACAGTACTTGCCTTCCCTGGAACTATATACCTGATGGAGTACTGTACTGTACTGTACAGTGTTCTTCAACTCATTGGTCTTGTAGTGTATGTGTTAGCCTCTTGATATTCACGTATATGAAATGTATGCCAGGAATTTGAAAGTGCTGATCTCTGTGTGATATTCGGTTCTTGTTTATGAATGATTCACTGTAATGCATTTACACTATATAGTTAGTTATGCTTAAAAGAAAGGGAGAATGAGATTACATCGAATATATTACAGGGGGTATTAGGGATGGTGGGATAAAGGTGGAGATGATTATGGGCAAAAAAGAGTATAGGTGGGCCAGAGGAAGGCAGAGACTAGGGTGAATGAATGAAATTAAAAATATTGGTCCCCAGAGAGATGAAAAATCTGGGAGGATGACTACCAATAACTCAAACATTCAGAGTGAAGAGCCATATTTTTGAGCCGTCGTACATGCTGTCTTGACTGAGTGACATTAATTAGGTTATATTTTGAAATTAAATATTGAATATATTTTGTTAAATGAAAAAGAAGAATAGAGAAGTATATTAATAATCTTAAAAATTAGTATCATGTTGGATATTATTTTATAAGATGGAGTGAAAGTTGTGTATGATGGCCAGAGAGGATATTACCACACAGTTGGCTTTGTTAGTGTCCATGACTTGGGAGAAACTCTGGATGTACAGTAATGAGATGAGACACTGGCCACCTGTCTTATAACAAACAGCTTACCTATTGTGCACTTACAAACTTGGTAATGTTTCTTAGTCTTAGATATTTGTGGTCCCTATATGCTTATTGTGCTATTGTATAATATATATATATATATATATATATATATATATATATATATATATATATATATATATATATATATATATATATATATATATATATATATATATATATATATATATATATATATATATATCCCTCCTACTACATATTTTTATTTATTTACAGTATTTATATACAGGGTATTTATTTATTATATTTTACAGAGTTTCTGTTTTCCCCATGGAATGAAATTAATGTTATACTGTACTGTATGTAAAAGTTAAGGATGCTCATGCTGCAAGTCATATACAACAAATTTGGTTAATGATTATTACAATGTGACAAGATCAGTGAATCAGTACAGTATGTAGAAAAAAAGATGTGTTGTAGAGGAGGGTGTTGTAGGTATGACTGAGTACAGTACTGTACTGTGTAGCTTTACAGTCTATACAACCCATCTTGGGGATAAAACTTGCCTGAGATGGAAGGATGTACAGTTCTGACTACTTGTACAGGTATGTTAAGAACAGATGGTAGGAAGTGATTTGAGGGATGAACTATTTTACTCTTGAGGTGAACTTTATAGGAGGAATGTTACTTGCTGAGGACCAAGTACACTGTCTGGAGGATAGGTTATTATTGACCAAGTCTGTCATATGTGATAAAGGTGGATGTTTAGGTATATGGGAAATCTAGACTGTGTTAACACTATTGTTGTGTGTGCTTTCAGAAATCTTTGCCATGCTAAACAGTGGCTGAAACTGGGAGATCTGGTTTCTGTGTGGTGTAACATCTTAAATTTATTTACCTGTAAATAAGCTGTCCATATTCAGATATGGTCATAAGATTGCATATATGAAGTGTTCAATGCCTCCCAACATTGACAAATTTTGAAAGCATGCACGAATTTGCTGTTGTTACTAACTACTGTATGGTACTGTACTGCTGTGAAGGATGAGTGGCAGCATATTGGGTAATTTACCTTTTGTTAAGTGTATAGAAACAAGTAAAGGGCAGCTACAGTGTTGTAAATACCTAATACGAACAATTTCAGAGAAACGAATGTGCTTTTGTTTGATACAAATATATAATGCAGACAATGCTTTCAGCAAACAAGGAAGGTGCAAGAGTTATAGAATTTCTCATTATTTTGAAAATTATATTGTATATGCAATGGCCTTTGTACAGTCAAAAAGCAATTAAAGTTTTATTTGTTTCACACATCACTTTGATTCTAGAGTGTTTTCCCTCATATTGAAGTCTTTACCCACATATTCGAATATTTACCCACAAAGTATATAGTACTGTACTGTAATCTTTACCTACATATTGAGGTCTTTGATCACATATTGATCACATATTGAAGTACAGTATACATTAGTCTGGGTTTACGCGGATTTTGTTTACACGTTTGGTCATTTACGCGGTGCCTTGCCAGAATGAAATGTTTTAATTACGCGGTAAATTTCATTATTTACGCGGGAAGCGGATCGGGCAGGGTGCGCACAAGGTCACCCAGTCATCAAAACATTACCGAGTTCTTCACCCGCCACCCACCACAGCCGGCCCAAGTCAGTGAGGATATGGACTTTGAGGGGTTTGACAAAGAGGCCCTGCAAGCCTCTGTGGTGGATAGTGATACAATTGATACAAGTGATACAGGTGAGGGCCAATAATCTGCCTCATAACCAACCCCCCATCCCCGTGTGCCCAGCCATCTTTTCTACTAACGTAAGTGTTAAAAAACCTAATATCATTGATATTTCTCTTAAATATTAATTGTGTGTGCATACCGTCATAAAATTAAGATGTTATTTTTACTACAGCGTACGTATTGCGTCTGAAAAAGTGTAGTTTGGGGGTCGGCCCAGTCTCTATTTCTCTATTTCAATTAATCCCATATGTTCTGTTATTTCGTTTACGCATTTCTCGTTTTACGCGGACCTCCACGGGTTCAATTGACCGCGTAAATGCAGACTATACTGTATTTACCTACATAATGAGGTATTTGCCCATATATTAAAGTATTTACTCGCATGATGATGTAGTTACCAACATAGTGAAGTTTTAATGTTTCTTAGCAGTTAGTAAAGACAGTAAGTTATTCATATTTATTCACTGACTGCATCTTCCATTAAACTATTATCACCACAGAGTAAAGTGAACAGTCAATGTTTTACTTGACCGACTGGCTGGCTGACTGAGAATCTCTTGTTGCAATATCATGAATAGTCTCAAAACACCTCCTTCATCCCCTCCCCCAGTCTCTCAAAACACCCTCCTTCACCCCCTCCCAATCCTCTTAAACACCCTCCTTCACCTCCTCCCTCTGATCTCCCACCCTCCTTCACCTCCCAGTCTCTCAAACACCCTCCTTCACCCCCCTCCCCAATCTCTTAAACACCCTCCTTCATCCCTCCACAGTCTCTTAAAACCCCTCCTTCACCCCTCCCCCAGTCTCTTAAACACCCTCCTTCACCTCCTCCTCACCAGTCTCTCAAAACACCCTCCTTCATCCCTCCCCAGTCTCTTAAACACCCTCCCCACCCTCCCCACTCTCAAAACACCCTCCTTCACCCCTCCCCAGTCTCTTAAAACCCTCCTTCATCCCTACAGTCTCTTAAACACCCTCCTTCACCCCTCCCCAGTCTCTTAAAACACCCCTCCTTCACCCCCTCCTCCAATCTCTCAAACACCCTCCTATCCCTCCCCCAGTCTCTCAAAACAGCCTCCTTCACCCCCTCCCCCCCAGTCTCTTTAAACACCCTCCTTCATCCTCCCAGTCTCTCGGTTTCCTTCACCCCCTCTCACCTCACCCCTTCCTTAAAACACCCTCCTTCATCCCCTCCAGTCTCTTACCCTCCTTCTTTCCCCCCAGTCTCTCAAAACACCCTCCTTCATCCTCTCCCGCAGTCTCTAAAGCCCTCCTTCATCCCTCCCCAGTCTCTAAAACACCTCCTTCAACCCCTCCCCAGTCTCTCAAAACACCCTCCTTCATCCCTCCCCCAAGTCTCTTAAACACACTCCTTCACCCCTCCCCAGTCTCTTAAAACACCTCCCTCATCCCCTCCCCAGTCTCTCAAGCACCCTCCTTCACCCCTCCCCCAGTCTCTCAAACACCCTCCTTCATCCTCTCCCCCAGTCTCTTAAACACCCTCCTTCACCCCCTCCCCAGTCTCTTCAAACACCCTCCTTCACCCCTCCCCAGTCTCCTCAAACACCCTCCTTCACCCCCCCCCCAGTCTCTCAAAAACACCCTCCTTCATCCTCTCCCCCAGTCTCTTAAAACACCCTCCTTCATCCCTCCCCAGTTCCTTAAAACACCCTCCTTCATCCCCTCCCCCAGTCTCTTAAAACACCCTCCTTCACCCCCCCCCCAGTCTCTCAAAACCCCTCCTTCATCCTCTCCCGCCTCTTAAACACCCTCCTTCATCCCCTCCCCCAGTCTCTTAAAAACACCCTCCTTCACCCCTCCCCAGTCTCTCAAAGCACCCTCCTTCATCTCTGTCTCCTCAAACACCCTCCTTCATCCCTCCTCAGTCTCTCAAAACACCCTCCTCTCTCAAAACACCCCTTTCATCTCCCTCCCCGTCTCAAAACATCCTCCTTGATTCCCTCCCAATATCTCCCCAGGTAGATATGATCAACAGTTTGATCATACCGTGTTTAGTGATCGCTGAACAGTTACTGAATATCAAAAGGTTGGATCCTTACGAGTGTAACTGTTATCGTTAGAGGTGACTTAAAATACTATAAAAGAATGAGTTCACAGGTGTTATCCATTTTCAGTACAGTACTTGACTTACTCAGGTTTATGGTAAAAAAATACTTCAATAATCATTGTTCTATATATAAAATAAAACATGAATGTGTCTAGTAATTATAGAAGCGTACCGATAGTGAGTAGCTATTTCCTGCACGGGTGTGAAGACAACAATAGCACACGGCTGTTTACCTCAACTCCGATGAACACTTGTTGTCAAACCCTGGCCGGCGTGCCTCCCTACTTCCTAGACACCCCCCACGTCCTCCAAGGTTCCTATTGTGAATATTTCTCGTTAATGAAGATGTTGAGAATGCCTCTAACTGGTTGACATAAGCTATTTGGGTTAAACAAGAGGGCCAGGATTACGAGCGAGAAGAATCACACCGGCACTCTGTTTGGAAAGGCATTTATAGAGCTATCTGAAGCTCCTACTAATTCGTTAGGTTCGGCTATACAGTAGAGGTTAGTGTGGATAGCTTGGGTTAGGGATATCAAGGTAAGGTGTTTAGTTAGTGTGGATAAGTCTAATTTGGATACGTTAGGTTTATTTAGTGTGGATAAGTTTGGTTCGTGTAAGTAAGTTAAGGTGTATGGTCTGTTTAATGTTAGAAAAGGTAGATGGAGCTAATTGGTTTGGTTAGTGTTAAGTTAGGGTAAGATGTTAGCCACAAGTTACAATAAAGCATACCCATACTCTGTTTTATTATTGCCGTGGCTTCATACTTACAGAAAGGGTAACTTTCATCTTGCATAACTGCTCTCGCTTTCATGCTTGTTCCCTCAAGCTCTTAACACTTGTAAACAAAGAAATCAGTTGTAAACCACGAGGCAGCTAGCTCAAACTACAAATAATATGGTTGTCGTTCTCTGCATGTGAGTTTAAAGGCCAAACAAACATCAAGTACCACCACAATATAAGCTGAACCTTCACGCAACACCACACCATAAAGTGGACATCGATTTCTTCTTGTAACTATACATACAGGGTAAGTTCCCGTGAGGCATTTTATTGCTCACCCTCTTTAATGCTGCGCCGTTTTCTGTTATTCCCATGGGCAGTCTCATATATATATCTTCGTAATTGTTTTATCAATGCCTTAGCAGTTCCCTCATTGCACCGTCCTTTCTGTTCCCAAGTCATTCTATTCTAGCCATTCTGTTCCATTATGGATCAGCTGTTCTGTACCCATACGTTATCCGCCCAGTTCCTGTAAACACATGCCTTATCCAGTTGCGAAATGGAAAAAGGAAAATTATCCAGAAGTGCTTGTCTCTTCTATTTCCACTTTATTACATTACTGTTCGTCCTCTCTCATTTATCTTACGATTTTGGCAGCCTCTTCCTTCACCCTCGTTCATGCATGCTTTTCAGTTTTCACTCATTCCATTTCTACTATATGTTATTAATTACAACTTCCATCTTGAACAGCTCAATAAACACTGTGAAAACACGGACCCTAGCGGCTGAGCTGAAAATTACCATTCACAACAAGCATAGAAATGTCAAATCATGTGAAAATCCCCGGTTTATTCCCCTAATGGTTAGCATTAGATTAACATTAGGTTCGGGTGTTTAATCATCAGGTGAAATAAGCTGTAGTGCCTAATCTTCACCGATATAACGTGATCTGAAATGTCAACACACCTTTCTCTAGGGAACACTCGACAGCTTGTTAACGAGTATAGTTCAAATTATAGATTGGTAAAGAATATGGGTAATACATTTGATGGTCAACAACTGCAGTGCGACGTATTCCCCAGTTAACGAATTTGACGCAAAGGTACGGTGGTTAACGAGTTTGATCATAAATATATAGCTGGTTAATGTGTACGGTTGAACTTATATATCGTTAACGAGGATGGTTGAATATAATGTTTTTCCTTTCCAAGTAGCCTAATGTGTATGAACGGTTAACGAGTGTATTTTATACTGATGGTTTAACTAGTAAGGTTAAGGTTTTATTGATTATCGATTATACAGTTCAACGCTTACAGAGGGTCAACGTGTATGGCCTGTATAAGGATGCGGCAGCCCCTAGACAAAATTATCAAGAACGATTGAGGGATCCTACACAGGCCACTAGCCTCCTTCTCTCGGCATGGCTACCTCCAGTCGGTGCCTATTTGGTAAATTAGGTAAAAGAAGGTCTGTTATTTGTATACCTGTCTGCACTGTCTACGTACTGTACATTTACACTTTACACATTACCCATGCTGAATCAATGTGAACTTGAATGATGATTTAACTGAATGAATATGTATCTATCTAATCAACTATCGAATTATCTGTCTATCTTTCTAACGAATGTCGCGGGTGGTGGAGAGGCCACCAGAGGGCAGAGTATTCGAAGGCTCGTGGCGTCAGCTGGCATCTCGAGTGTCGGTTAGAGCTGCTCCAGTTACCTCCCCCCCTCCCTCACCTCGCTTTACCTCCCACACCGCATTAAAACAAC